ACAGCTAGACGACCAGGAAATTTCTTCATTTATTGAGGAAAATAGAAACTGCAACACGACAACGCGCCAATTCCATTCCGCTTCGCATACTTCGCATACTACGCACTCCCCGTAAATAAATATCCGCGAAATTCGCCCGCACTGAACTATAACAGTTTGGTGCGTTGGGCAATAAATAACTTACTAGACGTTTTATTGTGTAGTATTGCTGAGTATTTTTACTCGTTATTTGTATTTTACTCGGTATTTGTATTGTAATACAGGCTCGTCAAAATATGGCACAACTTGTAAAAATACTCAGCAATACTACACCACAGAACGTCTAATAAGATATATAAACTTCTCCTCAACCCTTTCATTGCTTCAAATGCAGTTTTCACACATTCCACACAAGTCATATGATACATGTGACAACCACTGCCATTCTATTGTTACAATCAATCAAAATGAAGTCAGTTCATATGCAGATCTTGTAAATCCCTATCTCAATGCACCAAGGGCAACATTGAAATTTCAATGTCAAAGCAGCAATTACTTTAATTAGAGCAGAAAACACTTCAAGCTGTAACAGAATGTTTCACAAGCTCTGGCTAGCTTTGTCATGACTCCATCACCACTGTGGGAACTGTTCCTCCAGCCCTGAATTCATGAGCCTAATGGGAAGATCTTCCATGTTGGGAAGAACAAGCATGTTCTGGAACATTACAAAACAATGAGCAGTGAAATCAAGCACAAGAAATTTTGAAAACTGTAAAATAATGCACAAGAAAACTAGTCTAAAGTAAAGGCAACATTAACACAACAGCAAGGGTAAAAACAAGACACAAGACAAAATTAAGCTCGAAGCACAAGTTAAAAGAGCTAGTCAGTAAGTAATCAAGTCATTCGCTCTGAAAAAGGGCTAACACTCGAAACATCAGCTTTTTAACTCTTTACAGTGGCCAATTTACAATTTCAACTTAGTTGATTTTACCAAATTAATCTGTGATACTTTGCAATGACAGTGCACCTCTCAAATTAAGAGAATGACTGTTCCACCTGCTGATGTAGCTGAGTTTAGGGTATGATTATGAAGGGTCGTGGTTGACTACTGCACCACACATGGGTTGAAACAAGACTCCATACACGCTAGCCTCCTTGAGGTCTGTACTCAGCTCTAGCTGTAGTCTGCAACAGAAACCCAACTGCTCTCTTGTTTTCTCTGTATCTCAGTCACTAAACATTAATTCACAGATTTCTATTTAAAAAGCAACTTACCTTAAACTCTTGTTTCAGCTTTTTTTCAATCCAGTCAGTAACATGGGTGAGTTTGACTTGGCGTTCACCAAGCTTTGGTCTTGCAGATACAAACAGCATAGGACTTCCTCGGAAACCATACCTACAAAAAGTGTGTATCAAATTTGAATTTAATGCAAACTGAAAACAAATACACCCCATTAACAGATAAGGTTTAAAGTATTCTACAAAATCCCACCACTAGTGGTTCTTGCAAAGCTTCCAGACCAGTTCTTACTAAATTACTGAATGTACAAGTAGCAGAAAACAAAAAATACAATCAAATAAAAATTTACCACTTAACAGACAAAAAAAAAAAAAATGTTCTGTTTTGCATCTTATTTGCCTTCCAGTAATAAATTAAAGGAGAAAATCACTTTTCTATAATATTGTGCTGCAGTCAATTTTTTCCAAGTTTGTAAAACTCATACATTCACTCTCATTTTAGAGAGTACAACTCCCCTTTCAAAACCTATATTCAAATTTCTTGATTTACTGGCATGTGGCAACTGATTGAATTTACTGAATATGGGGTTACCAACGGTGGGGAGCATCTATACCTTCCTCAATAAAAATTCCTGGCCTTTTTCTTTCTGTCCTAGTAAAGCGAAAATCAGTGATAACCATGTAAAGCTAGACTTCTGTCAAATACTTTTTTGTACCAGTGACTATGGCACAAATACAACAAATACTTATGGAAAGAGTGAACTGCTTGGCTACTGTCAGTAAATACCGGTATGTAAAAAATGTCAGTTGATCACAACATACCAAAGCCGGTTTGTAGGAGGTGGGGGAATGTTCAGTGCAAGAGTTCCTTTGACTGTTAGTACCTCCACTGACAAAATAATTGGAAGATTAGAAAACTTCTCAGCTGCTCGCTTGACAATGCCAGTCTCTGCTGCCTTCTTCACCCACTTAGATTTTGCCAGCCGCTCAATTACACTGAAGATTTTGCGCTTTGGTCCATTCTTAGCAGAAAGACCTAAATGTTTTTTCATTGGAATACTAGGAGCAGTGTCTGTTGTCTTCTCAGGAAGAGTCACTGTGAGTGAGCCTTTATCTGATAGTTCCTCACTTGAACTCTGTTTTTGAGGAGACAGTTGTCTCTTTCTTGGTTGTGTGCTCTTTTCCAGAGAAGGATTTCCTACTTCCACATCTGTTGCATTGCCCAGAGATAAAGGATCCTTGCTTTCTAGTAGTTCTTCATCACCATCAACACTGCTCAAGGTGAATGAGTCAGAGCTTTCACTCTGAGGAATATCTACGAGCTTATGTCTTCCTCTATGCACACTTCCAAGAGGCTTGATCATGAACTCTTCAAAGTCAGATTCTGGTGATTCAAAGTCAGAGTCACTGTCAGGTGGACTTTCAGATCCAGAATCATTATCAAGTTCATCTGCACCCAAACTTTCTTTATCAAGATTTTCATATTTCCTAGACAGCTCTGCCATTTCAAGCTCGGCATGTTCACTGTTTCCAAGGCTTAAAAAGTAACTCAAGTATCCTTCTATGTTTAAATGGCCTTCGAAGGTGAGGATCAGGCCTCCATTGTAAGTCACTTCTAAATCAACCCATGTACCATCATGTTCAACCCTTGGAGAAGATGTCTTTGTTACGACTGGAAGACTTTGGCCAAGGTTAAGATCAGAAATAGAGATGTCACGGATGAAGGAGGGTTTCTTCATCTTGGTAAGCTTGTTTTCAAAGCGCTCCTTGATCTTGTTGGTCCAATACTTGTCATGCCATACATCCCAAAAAACTCTCCCAAACATGACATTCACCCATGAAATTTCTGATTGTTGGGAAGGCTGATCAATGAGTTTAGCCATATATTGGGGATATGAACACAGTGGCATAGTCTCCAGGTCAGAGGAGTTTCCAGGATTGTTGTTAAGAAGTCTGCATAGGTGATTATACCAATCTTCTTTTTCTCTACCAGTCCTTGCAAATAAGTAAAGCATACCAACATCATCTAGAGAATCTTGTTCCTTGATTTTGTTTCTCTCATTTGCATCACTTTCCTGGTCTGCACTTTTACTAAAACAAGAGATATCTTCAGAATGTGTCCCTGGCTTTTCAAGAGCAAGGCAGATTGGAAACTTTCGACTCCATACTTTCTTCATTGTCATTGTTGGTGGTAAAAGTGAAACTTTGCTTCCAGTTATATCATAGTGTTCGTGTCTTGAGAATGATATGCTTGCTCCCTCTTCGATCGATCGCGGGTCAAACTTCTTTCCTGAATCATCCACCTGAGGATGTGACAGTTTCAAGTTTGTTCCACTTAAAGAAGCAAAGACTGGCAAAGTCTCAGCACTGAACTCAAACTTGTCTGGGACATAATCATATGACTTAAACATCCAGCCCTGAAAAATTGAAAAACAAACAAGAAAGGTAAGATGTGGACAGAAATTTTAAAAAATAACCAACACATTCATTGTAACAATAAAAACACTGTTTATGTAAAACAATTTAAAGTAAAGCCACTTAAAAGCTTGTGCAATTTATGATGTCATTTCTCTGGTGGATAAAAGTAATAATCATAGATTAATCTGCTAGATAAACTATACCTTAATCATTTGGCAAAAAAAAATATTCCTCATGTCTCCCTAAGAGTACTTTATTTCAACTTTGATGCAAAAAAGCTACAGATTATTGTATATAACATTCGATCACTAGGTCAGTCAATAAATCACGGATCTATCTATATCATTGACCAATTGTAACGATATACAAAGTACAGAAAGATTTAAAAAATTCGAATAACATCATTAAAAATTTATCGCGATACAATTTTACAAATGTTGTTCCTGCAGAATATCAGACTTCCTAGAGTCAATGACAAACTTAATTGTACAAACACGCGCTAAAGGCGGAGAGAGTAACATGAAACTAACGAATACGCTTCCAGAAGGAAAAGGACAACTAAAAAATCGATCTAAGACGACTTTCCTTTTCCTGTCACGAAAAATGTTTTTAATAGATGCAAACTTGAATACTTGCCTCTAATTTGTTTCTTTTTAAAAGTAATCCAGGATCAGTAGATTTGTTATCAGGCTTAGGGGTTCTGGCTACTCTTTCTTCATATTCCATTAGCTCTTTTTCATATCGTTCAGCAATAGAGTCTACTGGACAAAACAGCCAAAGAAATGCACATCCCCCTAAATATGTCAGTAAACCTCCAAGCACTAAACCAGACAGAAACGGAGGAGACGACGTGATGAAGTAGATATAAACTAATAAAGAACAAAAACAAAAATTTGCGAACTGAGGGGATTTGTCAACCGTAGGGCGCGGTAATTGTCGTGCATCACTACCAGCCTTTGTGTTCCTCGTCTCCTCAAAATGGTTTAAATTGAAAGACAATTCTGAAGAAGATTTAATTTCAGAATTTATCTCTGCTCTACTTTCATTGTCTTCGGTATCCGTAATAATTTCTTCAGGCTCAACGTGTACTTCATCTTTCGCTAAACTCGCCAACAGAGATGATAAAGAAATGCCAGCTGAGCTTTTTGGTTTTTCCTGTTCGGCACCTCCACGGGTGTTTTCATCTTGCCGATCTCGATTCAGTTTACGACGAAACGGTGACGGAGACCTTGATCTTGGTCTGTCCACCTTTAGTTTGGTTTCTAAATCTTCATCAACGTGAGATTGAGAGGGAATCGATCCCACATCGTTTTCCTCTTTTATCTCTTGCTCCGAAAGCGAAAGGCCTTCTTTTGGGGGGTCAGATTTCGGTTCGTTTCCTTGATCTCCTCGACCACGCAGAAACTTCATTACGGCCGAATCAGAGTCTTCCGGGCGCGAATAACTCGGCCACGTACTCTGTTTCAGAACTGTCGACCGCTTTTCTGAGATCGGTCTCAGCTCTTGAGTAGAGTGGTACTTACTGGGAAATTTCAAGCCAGCTTCAGAAGAGCTTTCTTTCGCTTTTATAGTCGCTTCAGCGTGTTGGTCAACTTCATGACAAGAAGGGTTGACGCTACCAAGCTGTTCGAAGTCTTCCACCGTCACTTTGCAGAAACCATCCTCTTCATTTTCACCTTCGATTCGCAGTCGGGAATCATTTTTATCAGAATTCTGTCTGTTTTCTTTACGTTCAATAGATATTTCTTCGTCGGAATCTAACTCCTTGTTGCTAGAACTGTAACGAATAGAGATCGAAGCAAATGCATTTCGAATTGATCTTTCAGGAGCTACTCCGGTTGGCTGGCCACTTCTCGCGGTCGTTGTTCGTGGTAAGGGTGGTCGGGGTGGCGGCTTTTTTGCACTCATCGCTCTCCTGTGCTTCACCAGCCATCTGTGCTCTTCCTAATTGAACAGTTACCCATCACGAGGCGATGACTACCATTGAAAATGCAATTTTTCCTCGTCAGGTTCATCGACTTCGTGACCCGCGTGAATGGAACAAAGCCAGCGGCAAAACATTGGCTTCCAGACTCCCACGTGCAAGTACGCGCGAATATAAATCAGCGTTTTCCAGGGGATGGGTGGGAGGGAATCTTATAGTCCGGTCCAAATTTAGGCTCCTAAAAGCCTTTAAGACACCCGTCGACAGCCGAACGGTAGTTTTCCACATTTTTTCTATTTCTGTTATCATATTTTACAATTTTTCATGCAATTCTTACATCACAGACTTTTCTCAATGGGTGATGAGAAGGCAGTCTATAATCGTCTGCAAAATGGCCGAAAACCACGACGTGGATTTTTAACCAATGAGCTTCAAGAACGTCACGTGCGTCGAAACAACAAGCTGGGAAACGAACACGGATATTTACGAGAAAGTCTAGAATCACAAACTCGACCTTGCTATCTAAATCGGATAGCACGAGTCGGGAAAAATGAGCAGATATACAATATTTGGCTTGTGTTTGGGTTTGATTTTTTTTGTTTCGTGGCATTCAGTGGTTGCATCTGAAGAGGTAAGGCTAAAAATCGACATCTAGTTTCCACTGGACAAATCATGTTTCGTCAATGAGTCGACTTAGAGACTTGTATTTTTTCTCTCATAGGCTCGTACTTTGAGTGTACCGGAGTCTTTACTTTTCATATCAACATTGGATGGGACAATGCATGCAGTGAAGAAACAGACTGGCGATGTTAGGTGGTCGCTTAAAGAAGGTGACAGTAAATTTATCGTTTCAGAATTTTGTGAGAAATATCAGCTGTTCTGTATCTGACTATACCGGAAGTTTTATTTTTGCTTTGAATAACTCGTCCTTTCAATTCAGAGACTGGATCCAATGAGGAAACGTTCTCACATTTTCATATAGTTCGAAAAAGATCTAGCGACAGCGTTAGAGTAATGTAGAGGGTTTTACTACGACGATTGATAGCTAATGTGGTTGTTCACTTATACAGTCTGCTACTGGTCCTTAGATCAGATCACGTTCTCTGGCTAAGTGTTTGAGAAATTTACCGATCTTTTTCTTTCAACTGAAGTGTCTTATTACATTTCCTCTTTGTCGAAGTTTCCGTTCATTTCTTTTTCTGAAAGTGCGATTAAACAAGTAACCCAGTTCGATAGCGTTTTACAAATTAAATTATTTTCGAATTCATTTAAAAAATCGGTTCATAGGTTAGGGTTCAGTTTTTTTCGGGATTAGTGTATATTTCGATGTTTTCATTGTCAGCTCGAGTCGTGGTCTGTTTCACAATTACAAATCAGTGAACGAAGGGAAAATTTTTTTTTATTTTAGAAGGTGGTGTGATGCAATATGAATTTATTATGCTTTTTATTGTTTTGAATAATATAGGGAATCAACATACATATTATTTATTCCTTCGTTTGATTAGTCTGGTTTTAAAGACACTTCTGATTTCAATACTAACAGCTGTTTTCCAGAATTTACCTTCCATATGATTCTGATGAATTCTATTTATCGTTCACACAGCTGATTACACATCTAGACAAGGTTGTGTGACCCAAGGATGATTTTTGCATGAAATTTCATCTTAGATTGCTCATAAAAATACAATCAAAGAGAATTGAAATTAAAATTAACACCGTTCATCGTTTCAGAAAAACAATCTTTTTGGAATATAGGCAATATGCAACAATAGATCTCTGGTGCAGTAAATAATACAGATGCTTTCATTTAATATGTACCGCTTGTCTTTTGAAACCTTAAATTTTGCTCAATGAGAAATAACTATGCAAGCATCTGTTATCATCTTTTAGCTCATAAAATGTCCCTATATATTTCTTTTTCTTTAAATTGAGGAAATTTACCTTAGAATGTAGAAGTTATAACTTTACTAAAAGGGTCTGACCTTTTACAAAAAGCTTCTTTACCTTTCATCAAGGTTTACTTTTTCATTAAGTGCAGATTGTCACTTTCAAAAGCCAAATCTACATGAAAGACAACCAACAAGAATATGTGTGATGATTTAATTGGTCACTCAGTGATTGATTGAATTCAAAGAACAGATAACACCCATTTGATAAAATTCCACTTGCTGGAACACTTTTCCAATATATTTTATTGGCTAATTCCAGAAAAACAGTTATACTGTTGTACACTGTCTTATTTTTGTAATGAAAAATAAGTTTATCATCATGAATGTAAAAGTTCTGTGCATTAACAGTATGTCTAAGGTACTGTCTTACAACTATACAGAAGATGGAGAGGATTTCAAATCAATTCTTGCACTGCGTGTTGAAAAATAGTTATTATTATCTAAAACAAAACTGAACTTACCATAATATAGTCATAACGAACTATGGCTTTGATAAGTAATTGTTGCTAAATATCAGAGAGGACAAAATGAAGTTTAAAATTTATCTTTTGACACTTTGTTGATAGCTTTTTTATTTTGATTGGTAAAATATTTGGAGATCTTGTGAGTCAGTGTTCCTGTATCATATTTGCCAACTTTTCGCAACATTTCTTTTTTTTTGATAGATGCTGTAATACAGACACCAGTACTTCTTCGCCCAGGGTAAGATGATTTTTTTTTTCTCCACACACACTCACTTGTATTCATGTCATGCTAAAAGGCTACCAACAAGCAGATCAAAAAACAAAGTAACTTTTAAAGTACACATAAAGTAATGTTGTCCAATACAAATGATTCACTTGGAATGTCTCAACTGCCATGCTTAAAATCTTCACGTTTTTCTTGTTGCCTTGTTCCCACCAATGACGTAGCTCCATTTTCTGCCTTTAAAAGCACACACAACCCACAATTCCTCTATTCGCTCCGACAAAGGGCTAACGCTCGAAACGTCAGCTTTTGTAATCGTTACGGTGGCCAATTTACCATTTCAACTTTGTTGATATATCCAAATTTTTCCTTGAAATGCCTCCCAAACGCTAAGTCATATCAGACAACATTGGATAGTTGATCTGATATGACTTATGATGGATGTCCTCCAGGGGGAGGACGTCCATCACACAGTAATCTCGTGCGTGAGAAATTAACGTCTCCTACCCCAACCGGCAGCAGACAGGACCTCCATTTACTCGTCCCTATCGGAGAAGACGAGAATATCTCACCATTTCTTGATGTTATAGAAAGGTAGCAAATTCTTCTCAATTATTCTAAGAACTTGAGTTTTGGCCCGGCCGGGGACCGAACCCTCAACCTCCCGCACAACAGTCCAGCGCACTATCCATTGAGCTAACTGTGCGGCGGTTGTATTCGGTTAAATTGTTTTTTCTGGTAACGGCAAATAAAATGAATGAATGAATGAATGAATGAATGAATGAA